TTTTACAACCTCCCCTGAAAGGAAAGCCTCCGCTGAGGTTGCTGCCGCGGCTGCTGCTGGCAATTACGTCCATTTCCAAGTACCGGTGCACGGGATGCCCATTGCAGTTCCTGTTCAGGTTGAAAGCCATTCTGTGGAGTACCAGCCACAGGTACTATATCTTGTTTTTCTTGTGGGTCGAATGCAAATATTTGGATGCTGGTGTTGAATTTTGTTGCAATGCGACCTCTTAAAGTTATCAATCATAGTATTGCCATTGCTTGGCAGCAAGTGTTCATAGCATCCAGTAAGCATGTAAATTCATTATATGCTTGGAAAGTTGAGTTCTTTTTATTTGAAATGTAGTGTTGTAGTGCTGTTTATAGGTTATGTTCATAGGTTCTGGCAATAGAATCTAGATTTTTGTTTATAGGTTGTTAACCATGTCCCATTGGTAGTTAGTGGATAAATATTAGAAGTTGCCTGTGTTTCTTGGTTTTGTAATTGTTCCTCAGATATATGCTGGAAAGCATTCAGTTTGTCATGTTGTATTGTTGAAAGACTTTTCAGTTTACAGAAACTGTAGTTATGTAAGTCTACCTTTATAGAACAAGGGTTGAGGTGGTTGTTTGGAAGACAGTTTTTGCCACCACTTCGTGGATGGTACATTATGGATGACTCCATTGACATGTGGGTTGTACATAAGTGATTGGTCATCAATTCTTGATATCTTTTTAAAAGAAAAATCAATTTTTGCTGTCTGTGGAGTCTTCTTTTCCTGTTCGTTGTATTCACCTGGTGCCACTTTTAAAGACTCTCATCCTCAAAGTGTACTTTCATATTGAGTCTAGGTTTGGGTTTGCCAGATTCTCTTGAAGCTATTCCTTTGCCAAGTGAATTGAGCTTGAGTTGTGTGCTGGTTGTTACCAGCTATTTGGTTACTTACATCTTGAAGAAATCATCCTCATTTCTCAGTGTTACTGGATGGTTTGTGTGGTGCATCTGGTTGAATCTAATTTTGTGCTTCTAGTAGTTGAGAATCAAGTTCGTTATGCATTTGCTGCTTTTCTTCATTGTTGATTCATTTAGAAAATGGAGCCAGGGTCAGCTAGCAGAATCAGGCTGTATAAAGAATACTGTTCTTCGATGTTTAATCCCTTCCAAGCTGTAGCCGCTGTTATTAACACAGCACAGAGATGATAATGAGCAGTCTTGCCCTCTTCTTAGCTTTTTGCACTTAAGTCTTCATTATGCCTGTGAAGAAGTCAAACTATTCACTTATTGTCTCCTTCATTATTCAATGTGTATGAGTTGGCCTTTAGTAAAAGTTTCTAGAAGAAGTCTTTAGTTAACTGTCTTGTTCCATTAGACACTCCTCTTGGATATCCATTGCAGTTACTGCTCTATATACATTTGCGTTCAGTACAATGCTGCATTCATTGTAGGTCCATTTTGTCTTAACTCTCAAGAACTATTAACTTTGTGCAGCATGGGGATGCAGCAACTTCTCAAGGACAAGATGTTAGCGATGATCAGTCAAATCCCACCGAGGAATTTCACAAGGTGCATTGAGCTGAAAACTTTATTTATTTCTAATTTTCTTCCAATAAATAGTTTCATAGATGATTCACTTAGCAGTTGTATCTTATTCCCCCTTCACAGGATGAACCCGAATTTGAAAACCCTGAAGAAATTGTATCCGGCGAGCAAGAAGAAACGAAACCTTCACCTGAGTTTGAGTATAGTAATCAGCAAGACGCAGAATCTGGGGAGCAACAGTATGTAAATCGTAGGAATTACCAGCACCAAAGAGGTGGTGGCCGTGGAGGCAGTGGTCGCAGGGGTTATCCAAATGGCCGTGGTGGCCGAGGCAGTGGCAGGGGAGGCGGTGGCTACCAAAATGGTAGGAGCAACCAATACTATGACCAGCCAGGGAACTACTACCCAAGGAACTACAACAACAACAACAACAGAGGAGGAAGGGGCAGCAGCAGAGGTGGCGGCACTACTGCTTACAACAACCATCCCAATGACATGGGGGTGGCCTCGTGATGATGGTATGGTGAGCAAGTGAGCGATGGCTAATCTCTCGGGTGTCATATTTTGTAGGTCGGTGCTGAAGAACCCATAGTCTTCTCTTTTCCGGTTTTTTTGGTTGTTGTTTGGCACTGCTGCAGCTCTGAAACTTGCTTTTGAACATGGGTTCGTTTCTAATGTTGATGAATCTCACTGGCGCCCATCAAAGGACACCCTAGCTCCTTAGTTTTTGTAGTTCAGACTTTGGGACAAACGTCCTCACTGGGTAAAACTTCATGGAAGAAAGTTCTTTTTGCTGTCTAATCATAGAATCGATCCCTAGTTTCCTGTTGGATTGTTACTTGTTAGAGAAGGAAAAAAAGGGGCTTTGAAACTCAAGTAAGCTTGCAGTGGACAGCTCGGGATGATTGTGCAGGCAAGGGGCGGGATACGATTAGGGATGGCAATGGGTCGGTCGGGTTGGGGCAGGTTTTGTCAAAATCAAACTCATGGGTTTATCCGCCAAAAAAATTCGGAGTATAATCCGTCGTGTTTGAAAAACTCAAACCAATCCGCGGGTTCATGGGTACCCGTGGGTTTTTGTGGTAAAAAACTTACAATAACAAATTTCTTTCAAAATAAAAGTTTAATATCAATTTTCTCATACAAATTATTCATACAAAAAACACCAATCTAGAACATACAAGCAAACCGCAAATGATCAATACAAATTGTTCAAAATTAAAGATAAACATCTATAAACAACAAGATTAATTGAAATCTTCCTCCTCGTCAAATAAGTTTTTTCACTCTCCACTCCATAATATCAACTTCATTCTAAACAATTAGAAAGAACAAATTATAGATGTCTCCACAAACATAAATAATATTAGTTATATAAAGAAGATATATTATTTAGAATATTAAATATACTGGGAAAGTAATTATATGTGTAGGCGGGTACCCATGGGGCGGGTTTACCTAAACCCAAACCCAACCCAACCGGTGAATAGTGTAGCGGGTTTAAACCCAAACCCGGCCCAAAACCCGTCAACACGGGTTTTACCCGCGCTGACCGGGTTGGTCGGTTGGAGACTCGTGGGTTCAGGTTTTGTTGCCATCCCTAGATACAGTCACTCGCCCAAAGGGTTGTGAGATTCACAATCAATAGTATGTATTTTGGGGATGACAAAAAAAAAATTAATTAGTTAAATATTTTTGTATTAATTACAGATTGAGAATTAAAAAATTATATTAAATACATATTTTTTAAAAAATTTAAATTCTACAATAAATACAAGTCTCTCTCATCTTATTTCAGCAGTCACTCCACTTCGATCGGCTGACTTTCTCTTGCGAAATCTTAGAATCAAACGCACTCCGGCCACCTGTAAAAAATTACCACTCCGTCAGTGTGCTAGTGGTACTCTACCACTACCACTAGTACCACTGCCACTACCACTACCACTAGAATCAGAAGCAACTCCTACTTTTTCTCTATCAACCGGTGCTTTTGCTTAGAACCTCTGAGAATGTTTGCACCGATCGATATTTGATTCTCATGGTCGTGATTTTCATGCCCATGGCCATGATAATCATCATGTGTTTCTTTTGCTCCTTTCTGGTCTCCAAATGTCCCGAAACTCGCTCTCAAACATTCACCACACTCTAGGACCTCAAATATGATAAACTAACACAAGCTAGAGCAAAATTGGCAAAGGATAGGGCATTTCCAAGGTAACAGCCTGTTTGGAAATGCTAAATTTTGAGGAAATGTAATTCCAATTTTCAAACTTTTCATGATTCTCATGTTTGGAGGTAAAAAATAAAAAGGAAATGGAATTCCAAAAGGTAAAAAGTTGGAAATTCTAAATCCTACCAAAAGTGGTCGGAATTGGTGGAGGGAGTGATGGAATTAGTGGACCCCACATTAATTTTGACTCACTTTTACAAGCAAGCCCTTACTACTTTTGGATTTGAAATCATTAATACCAAGGATATTATTGCAAAAGCACTTGTAAGAAATCATTTCCATTTTTTTCCAAACATACAAAGGTGAAATCATTTCCCAAACTTTTGGATTTGTTCCAAACATAAACTCTTAAAATGAATTCCCACTTGAATTCAGATTCTCACAAGAAATGGAATTCATTTTCCAACAGAATTATCAAGAGCTGTAAATGGTGAAGAAAAATCAAGAGCTGAGGGATAAAAACATGTATAAATAAGCTTATATCAACTTGCTATCCAGACCAGACCCAATCTGTAATGGGTCGGGCCGGAAGGACCTGTCACAAAATGGGGTGGGCCGTGCCGGGACAATTTTGACATCCCTAGAAAGAACCACACTGACTCGATCTTTATTTTGAAAAGAATATAGGAAATCATTTTCCTCATAAGGGTTTATATTTTCTTCCTTGAAATACTCACTCTTATATGTATTTGTTTCTCTGGATGAATGTTCACTCTTAAATTTTTTACTACTCGATTAAGCACTTGTATCCGAAGATATTATCATATGACATAGACAAGTAGTGATACTCTAGAAAATAACATTCATAATAACCTCAATTACTAATTGCTAGATCAAATAATTTCCAAGTTTCATCCTCACCTATGTGTACAACTAAAAAGAATCTGGATCCTTCAAGTAGCAGCCATAAATAATGTTCAGAAGAAGTTTTGTCAAACTGTATCAAATATTCTTTTCATCAACCTTTTATTTCATTTTTTGTTACAATCAAAGCAAGTCGCCGAGCAAACTTGAAACTCCAGTGCTGCCGTTCATAATAAAGAAAAAAAAATCCAGTGCTACTCTTTTGCACAACAAATTGCTGCGACATTCGATCTGTTCTTTTCCTCCTCAACTTTCTCTTACCCTTTTCACCATTTCAATGGAAACCACTTTGATGGAAAATAATAATAAAATAATAATAATAATAATAATAATGCTTCACAATACATTGGCACTACAAATAAATTATTTCGTTAATCTGCATCTAATCCTTTGCCATTTTGGTTTCTGCGGTCCATAGCATTGCAGCCTCTCTGTAGAGAGAATCCTATTCCCCAGCTTGCCAATCACAACTCTGCTGCAAATTTCATTATTTTGCGGCCACTCCAGAGCTTTATATAAGGATCCTGCCCACGAAGTTACATTTCCAAGCCAGAGTGCTCTTCTTTCCAAATAGACCAAGCAAACCAACCATACACAGCAAGTAACAGCTATGAGTTACTACAATTTCCCTCTTTTCCAGAGAAGAAGGTCGACCCTAGTAAGCTCCTTTGATTTCAAGTTCCCCAACCCTGGTGGATATAATTCACACAAGAGGCCTGCACCATCTGGGTTTGCAGAGCCACCGTCTGCAAACCAGTGGAAGCTTTACCCCGAGAAATCCAGGGAGAGCTTCAAGAAGCCACCTGGTGTGGTAGAGGTTCATTCTGCAAGCCAGTGGAAGGCCTTTGTTGACGATTCCAGGGAGAATAACAAGTTGGTAAGGATAATTGATGTTTCTCAAACAGGTTTCTCGAGTTGATTGCTTGCTCTTCATCTAACTGGTTTTCTTGTTCTTTATGTTATTTGCTGCTGCTGAAGTTGGTCATACAGTTCACTGCAACATGGTGTGGGCCTTGTCGACTCATGGAACCTGCCATGGAAGAGTTTGCTGCTAAATACGAAGAAGTCATGTTCATCAAGATCGACGTTGACAAGTTGCCGGTATACAATGTCTTTTCTTGTTCAATATCTTGTTCTCCTCTTTTGGACTTCTTTGAGACTGAATGACACAATTATGTAATACGATGCAGTCGGTGGCTCGCCAATATGATGTCCAGATAATGCCTGCATTTGCACTGATCAAGAAAGGGAAAGAGGTTGATAAGGTGGCAGGAGTCAAAAAGACTGAACTTCGGAACAAGATTGAAAAGAATAGGCAGTGAAGATCCAAGCATTGTCATGAATTGACTGAAGAGCTTTGGAGTATCATCAGACGCATCACACAGGCAAAGTAAGCATCAGAAGAATAAAAATTAGGCCAATTGATGGCAATTATCCACTGAGCCAAAACTAGAGCATTAGCTATATTCTATAGTCATATCATTCCACTTGTTCAAAATAACCATAGTATGTCGATTTCTCAGTCACGAACTCGGCAGACAAAACTTATGCAAAAGTTGGTATGACCCCTCCCTGTTCAGTATTATTCAGCTCAGATATATCTGATAATTCTACAATCTCCACTTACAAAGTATGTAAAACTTATTCAGAAGAATTGTCCAGATGTGAAAATCAGATCAAAAGAGGTTCTTCTTCCCCTTCTTTTGCAGGGGAAGGGAGAATAAGATTAGGACGCTTGAGTATACACAATTAAAATTACAAAGCCCAAAAGCAAATCCTGTGTCTCCTAAGAAAATTATCCTAAAACAAGAGGAGGCCACATTACGCTGGAGAATATAGCTCCTTCGCAACATTTTCCTTCCTACTATGCACAATCTTCTTACTTCTAACAAGAATCAGAAAACATGATTCTATTTACATACGACCAAAAAAACTTACATTTCAGATCAGTGTCAATGGAAAAGCTTGGCACTCAGCATCACAAACCACCACCCAGTACCCGTTTTAGATCGGACTTCTGTTCAGCTGTCAATCTTGATGGGAACTTGACATCAAACTTGATTCTGAGATCCCCTCTATTGTTAGGCTCTTTAGAGATAGGCATTCCTTCATTCGCAATCACAACTTCATGGCCCGGTTTGATGACCTCATCCACCGGAACCGTGAGGAATCTCCCATCCAAGGTTGTCAACTCAACAGTCTTTCCAGAGAGAGCTTCTAGCAGGGAGACCTTTCGATGAACCACAAGATCATTTCCATCCCGCTTGAACAGAGCATGTGGCTTCTCATCCACCACGAAAATGAGATCAGCTGGACGAACACCAGGCTCCTGATTGCCTTTCTCAGGGAATGTGATCTTTGTTCCTTTCTTCCACCCGGGTTTGATATCTATCTTTAGGATCTCCTCCACGGCCTTTGGCTTGCTGCGCAAGGGGGGAAAAGTAGTTTGTGTGAAACCAAAGCAATAACATGAATAGTTTTGAACTACTTAGCAGTTTGGGAGTATAAATTTCAATTCTTTTCAGCCGGCCGGCCAGCCTATGATAAACAATCCATCACGTCATACAATTCCCTATCCCTTCCATTCTTTCTAATTCTCTATTGAGCAAAAACCCAATTGGCCAAGAGCTACAAAAGAATGTGAGACTGGCAGACTGGCAAAGGTAATCTTAAGTCTTAACTAGAGAGGCTACAGTCTACATAGCTGCAGATGAACATGGAAAGTCCAATACAGTAATCAAAATCCAACCCAGTTGAGACAAGATATCTTTATATAGGAATTTGCATTCCCAAAAAGAATCAATTAATATGAATAGAAAGGGAAACAAACAGACCAGCCGACCATTGATGAACTAAAAGCAGCATCCCTATTTTCCCCCCTTTGATAATGATTTTTTACGAAAGAGGCAAAGTCGCAGATTTCGAAAAGTGAGGGAAAGGAAAGGGGTGGAATTTGTTTATAACTAACCCGAATTCATCAGGAACGTTGCGGGAAATCTTCATCTTCCTTGTTGCCCCTTTATAGAGCTCCTCCAAGCTACAACCCAATTTGCTCTCAATCGCCGGAGCTTTCTTCTTCCCCTGATGATGGCGGCTCTCCCCATTCCTCCGATGACTATGATTATGGTGACTCCTCCCACTTCCCCCGCCGCGGCCGCCTACTCCGCCGCCAGATCCACCGAAGAATTCCGCGTATATATCCTCGGCATCGCGGGGATTGAACCTGAATTTCGAATCCCCGGAAGGAGCATCGTCGGGCGGAGGGAAATCAAACGTCTTCAGGCCTTCCTCCCCGTACAGATCATAGATCTGCCGCTTCTGGGGATCGCTAAGCACGTCGTACGCTTCGGAGACCTGCTTGAATTTCGCCTCCGCCTCTTTCTTGTTCACCAGATTCTTGTCCGGATGCCATCGCATCGCCAGCCGCCGGTACGACTTCTTCAGGTCATCCTCCATCGCATTCTTGGCAACCTTCAGCAACTTGTAGTAATTCACTCCCATATCCCTCTCTGTCTCACTCTCCCTCTCCCTCTCTTTCTCTCTCCTTCGATCCCAAAGGCCAAAACCAACTGAATTGCGTCCCCACTAACGGATTCACGTTAAAAGAGGGTTGGTGGTGCCGTGGTGGTTAGACTCATCGACGTGAAACATTTCTTATTGGGTCCGGTCAAATATTCTATAGTTTATGTAATATGCGGTTAGTTATACGGTTAGTTCGTTATTCGGTGCAATTTGTGTTACTCAACAAACCGCAAAATGACCATACTGCTAACCGCAGCGGTATAAGACCCCCTTTAAACGATTTGCGGTTAACCACTAACCGCGCTTATGGAATCGGGCTTCATATAGCTGGGAACCGAGTATGTGGAGCTGAGTTTCGATTTATGTGTTCTTGAATTTGGGTATGCACCGTCTCCTCCGAGATTTGTCCGCTCCACCGCCGATATCGTGGCCTGACTTTCGATCTGGGTTGGAGAAGAGGGATGGCAGGCGATAGGAGTCAGAGGGAGACTGTTTTACCAGATGATGTTCATTGTGGTGGCGAACAGGGGCAAACGCCAGGTTTAGTAGGCAGCGAAGAACAGAGCCTGGAAATCGAGCTGTCATGGGGGGGTTTGCATATGTAAAAGGGAGTTTGATTTGATTCTGCATGTTCGATTTGAGGTTGTCGAAGTCTCAATCCTTAAATTGTGTATATAAACTGGTTTAATCCTTTGAATCAATATCTTTTTCTCATTGTTTGCCATGGATTGTTGTTTGGTTACTCTTGGTTTGTTGCTTTATTGCTGCTACTGCATTGAAACTTCTGGGAAGGCTGAGGAACTCTAATATTTGAGATGGGAGATAGAATCATGGTTAGGTGTTGCAACCGAAAAGAGGGGACACATGTGGGTTTGGAGAAGCACTTCATATGATAATGAACATCAACATGAGCATTATATTTTTATGCTTGCCTATGAGAAAGATCATAACCTGTCTGTGATTTATTTTGTGTTGGCTTTAGTTGGTAACATCAAGAGGAACTAATCAGAAACATGGGAGTCCTGATATAGTGTTGGCGAACTAATCACTTATTCCCAATAATTCGAGTTGTTGGAAAAGACATAGTTAAACCTTTTAACCTCTTATATAACGCGGATGATCTTCATGAAAGCAAAGAAGTGCCTACTCAAGTAAGTGCGGCACTCAACAATTGATTTATCAGCAGACTTTCTACGAACGAAGAACACGAACTAAAAAAACACAGGAAAGAAAAATAGAGAGGTCCGAAAAGGTTAAAATGCTTACAAGGTGTTTTGTAAGCATATACTTACACGGCCCAAATCTTCTTCACGTGGGCCCAGCTGTGATCTAAGGGTTGAAGGAGGCGGGCTCTTTTTGGCTCACTTAAGTGAGCTTTTGTGGACTTTTTCCACAAGCCGACATAGCAGATTGAGGCGATGGAGGTGGCTCCGGGTCAACTTGAGAGATAAAGGGAAGAGATAAGACTAACTCCAACCCATAAAGGGGAATTTGGCTCCCCAAATAACCAAATATGGCTTTTTAGCTCCCCAAAACCCATTCTCGCTCTTTTAACATTAAAATATTTCCAATAAGGAAAGGGCATTGCAATGTGACTGATTGTTTGATAATGAAAACTTAGTATTTTTTAAAATTAACGATAAGACAATGAACCGGCCATCGGGCTGGGCACAGATACTAGTTAACTATAATTTCTAAACCAATTCCTCACACGTTCAACTAATCATATTGTTTGTGAATGTTTATCTTAAACATTGAACAATTAGTATGAATGATTTGTGAGTTAGTGTAATGTACTAGACAATAGTAGTGCAAACTAGTGTACTTGCATCTTTGTACATGAACCCGCGGATACCCAGTGGTTTGGGTTGGGTTTGAGTTCTTCAAATCCAGTGGGTTTTACCCCATTTTTTTTGTTGTGGATAAACCCATGGCTTTGGGTTTGGGTTTGGCATAATTCGCCCCAACCCGAACCATTGTCATCCCTAGTGAGGAGTAAGTAACTCGATGCGCTGACCCGAACAACCCGCAACCCGATCCGAAACCCGATGAACCTGCAAAGCAATTTTCCCGCAACCCAATTGAACCTGAACCCGCAACCCGATGAACCCAGAACAAGACAAACCCAAAAATTAACTATCCCGCAACTCGATTGAAACCAAACCGAACCCATCCGATTGACGCCTCTAGTTACACATTAATTTCCACACGAGTTAGAAAGAAGATGACACATGTGGCCGACGTGCACTACCTTCCCAACGGCATATCTTTAAGCAATCGAGTTTATAGTTTGTTAAAAATATTAGTTTGATCTTTGATTCTTTATGGTGCATCTATTTATAAGTTTTAAAGGTTAATTTATACGCATCGCAAAGATCACAGAAGGTGCGTAGACAATAAAAAAACATATGACATAGTTCCCCATAGTAAGACCAGAAACTAGAACTCATTTTTATTGTGTGATCGATGACCAAAACAGAGTAAAACATAAAGGGGATAGATAGCTCCCAATTCCCTCGATTTAACATGAAAGAACAACAACATAAAGCTGGAAAACAGACCCAAAAGACAACAATCGCCCAGACACATATCCATCTTCTAAGAGGACGCTCTTTATAAAAAAAAATCTTCTAAGAGGACGCTGCTGCAGCTTTGTTCTTAGCAACGAGGAGCTTAGCAAACTCGATGATCTTGTCGGTTTCAGGCAGGACGTCCTTCACAGCAGGATCGGCCGAGAATTTGTCCGCCCATTTACACAAACCAGGCGTCTTCTCCTCGTCGAGAAGCTTCACTCCTCCAAGCATCACTTGCAGAGCTCTCAGCCATGCCAACATGCTCCCAAACGCAATGTCGATAAACCCAATCTTCTCCCCGCCGAAGAAATCCTTCCCTTTGCTGATTTCCTCATACGCTCCCTCCAGCAGCGCCATACCTTCCTTTAGCTGACCCACCGCCGCGTTCTTCGCCTCCTCGCTCGACGCATTTAACGCCCCTCTCACGTTCGGAAACCACTGCAAAAAAATTTGATTCCAAAATATTAAAATCACATAAAAGAAACAACGACCCATTAGAGAACTCACACCTAGAACCTTGATTGTTGGTTCGTTTCGAAAGGGTTGTCGAAAAGATCGCACCTTTTCGTCGACGTAGGCAGCCCAGAAGCGTGCGACGGCGCGGTCGTGGGCGTCGGAGGGGAGGATTGAAGGGCCGGCGGACCAAACCTCGTCAATGTACTCGACGATGATGTTGGATTCGCAGATGGGTTTGTCGTTGTGCAGAAGGACGGGGATTTTCTTGTGGACGGGGTTGGATTTGAGGAGGAGCTCGCTCTTGGACCCAAATTTCTCCTCGAGGAACTCATACTCGACGGATTTGATGTTGAAGGCGATCCTTGAGCGCATCACGAACGGACTCGGCCACGCGCCGATCAGTTTGACATCGCCATTGTTGTTATTGGCCATTGTTTTTCAAGAAGAAATGAAGGCAGAGACTTTCAGAAGACAGGGGACCTCTCTGTTTCTATGTATGTGTACGATCTTGTTTGGGTTTGAACTGTGCGATTAAAACAGGTGGGGAAATGGCGCGTATATATACTGAGAGATTGGAGGACGCTTCTTATGGGCGTTGCTTATTTATTAATTATTATGGGGCGGAGAGAAGTTCGAATTGGGTTCTATACGGACAGATTCGGGGAAGGGACGGCTAATGGGGTGGGAAATGGGAATTGAACGTAACTCGACTATTTTATTTCTCAGGAACAAGGAAAACATGTAGACGTCACTGATGATGATGATGGGTACATAAAAGACATAAGAGTACATAAATGGGAATTGAACTCGACTATTCTAATGTAAATACTTGGTTCCAATAACTCGAGTTATTGGGAGAATGTTATGTTGGATCTTATATCACTCTCTAATATGCCTCCAAACGAAAGTCAACCCATGGGTTTGAATTTTGCACAGGCCCACCATACCATGTGCTTAAGAGTAGGGCTGGAAGTTTGGTACCGATATTTTGGATATACCGAATACCATACCGAATTTGTCTATATTTGGTATTACCGAATACATGTATTATTTTTTGGGATTGGGATTGGGATTGAATTTCAATTGTTATTCGGTATTAGGGATTACGGGAATGGGATTGGTATATACCGAAATACCGATCAATACCGAAATATAAACTAGTGTGTATTTTATCCTCTCAACTAGACTATCTCATTCACTACTACACGACCCTAAACCACCAAGAGTGTCATTTAATTATACATAGATCATTCTATCACTATTAATAGTCATCTCTCAACCTCCAATTCGTCAATTTAACGATTACCAATGACAAGAACTTGAGAAGTATCCTCTCCTCCATTCTCCTTAATAATATCTTTTTTCAAGACACGTCTTTTACCCCTAAATTAAACAATAAAATCTAATTTATATATTAATTTATTAATTGCAAAGGTAATTAATTTTGTATTCGATAATACCGATTGGGATACCGAACTACCGATTGGGATACCAAAATATTTAGGGATTGGGATGCCGAAATTATTTAGGGATTGAGATTGGGATTGACTTTAGGGTGTAATTCGGTATTCGGGATTTCGATATTTGGTATTGGGATACCGATATCGTACCGATTTCCACCCCTACTTAAGAGTACATAAATTCGGCCAGCTATTTTTCTAACCCTTCTATTTGTCATGTAAATACTGTCATAAACCAGTTGGTCCCAATAACTCGAGTTATTGGAGAAGGTTATGTTGGATCTTATATCACTCTCTAACACGCCCCTCAAACGAAAGCCAACCCATGGGCTTGAAGTTTGCACAGGCCCACCATACCATGTGATTGAAAGACAACGGTTAATATTGGAGGTCGTGGAGATTCGAACACATGACATTTCGGTTCTATGCTCTGATACCATGTCATAAACCAGTTGGTCCCAATAACTCGAGTTGTTGGGAGAATGTTATATTGGATCTTATACCACCCTCTAACAAATACTTGTACGAATTGCTATCTCGTACTGAATAGATATCTTGAACTAGCTGTTCATTTGTCTTACAAATTAAGTCGCCACTCTATCTAAGTTGTTAAGTTAACCTAGAGGACTAACGAGACTTAACGTTAGTTAACTTATAGCCAAGCCATACTCGTGTTTACATTCGTGTCTCGTGTTCTCATTCTAAAGTCCTATAGATTACAAACTAGCCACCTTCATCCTCGCCCTCACATAGGTTGGATTGATGATTAGAATGTGAAGTTGGGCGCTAGGGATGGCAATTACCCACTCATGGGTAATTATACCCAAACCCAAGTAGATCCATTTAGGGGTGGGCAAACGGTTCGGTAAACCCGAACCGAACCGAAAACGAATTAATGCTATTCGGTTTGGAATTCGGAAGGAAAATATGGATAGTTCGGAAATCAGGGTTCTTTTAACCGAACCGAATTTCCGAGCGAAAAACCGAAATACTATAATTGCAAGCTCCAAATGGTGGATTTTTATGTTTGTAGTTGTTTTTACACTTAAATATTTGAAATGTTTTATGACTTATGTGTTGAAAAGTTTGGTTTTATCATTGATGGTGCATATAATTGATATTTATTGTTTATATTAGGGGTGAAAAATAATTTAAAAGTGAGAAAATACAAGTAGTTTCACAAATTCGGTTTTGTGTGAAAAACCGAACCGAATTATAATTCGGTTCGAATTCGGTTTGAGGTTTGGGAGAATTCGGGGACCCGTATTCATAATTTCGGTTCGGTCGAAATCGAACCGACCGAATGCCCACCCCTAGATCCATTGATAATGGGTTGGGTATGGCCGTATGGGTGAAGTGCATATGGGTTTGGATAAGGTATGAATATTGCTTCCACAATCTAAATGGGTATGGGTTGGATATGGATATCCATTTACTTGAGGGTGTTTTAACTACACATGCAAAAATTGGACCTATTTGTAAAACTTAAAAAATTTAGGTACCAAAATGTAAGACCAAAAAAATTTAGGTATCAAAACGTAATTTTCCATCGATATTTTGAGGACTTATATGCAAAAAAAAAATTAGGTACTAAATATGCATATCTATTAAGTTTAGGTACCAAATTGTAATTTGTATTTGGGCATGGGTACAAACCCAAATCCATTTGTTATAAACACAACACAACCCAACCCAAAATAAATGGATATGGGTACAAACCCATCAAATTCTACCCATATCCATCTATTTGGATTTCATACCCAATCCAATTGGGTTGGATAGTAAAAACCCCATGGATATGGGCAAAATTGTCATCCCTATTGAGCGCCTTCAGGTTCACCCCCATTTTCTACCCAACCAAGCTTCAATTACTTCCTATGTATCTTTCAAGATGTGAGATCTCAAACCCCTGTCCCCTATTTCACCATTCCCTTCGTCCCTAGGTAACCAAGTGGCTTAGCAGTATTTCCCGTGATATGAGTTGTGTAGATGAACCAATATGGGTTGTAGAGCATGAAATACTTCCACGATCACACGAAAGTCATAAAAATGACGATCATTAGTGACTGTATCAACCTAGAATGTTCCACACATTATAGAGTACACGAGGTAGACTTCAACCGATAGTGGAAATCGTCCTTCACTCCTACAACAAAGGTTCCAAATTAACACATTTGATTTGGAAGCTGACAGAAATTTTCGAAAGAGAAAACATAAATATAGGTTGCTCGATGAAGAGCCTAAAACAGAAGATGACATTTTTTTTCTTGTTTAGTTGTTTTAAATTAATTGTATGTTGAGGTGTCAAAACAACATAATCTGTATTATGAATTCGTTAACTCTTGCGTTAAAAAATTGTCATCAAACTGAATTTCGAAAAGTTTGGATATTAAATTGTTTTAGTTCTGAGGTTTGGCTGACATGTCAAAACTCAATAGCCACGTCAGCATCCATATTATCATTATTTGCCACGTCAGATTCAACAAATATTTGATCAGATGAAAAGTTAATGATCTGATTATTATTTTATTTTTCAAAAAACTTGACTATTATTCTGTTAAAAATGAAAATTTTGACTATTATATTGGTTTAATTATTTTCTAAATAATGAAGTTGACCCCACTTTTTGAGTGACCATAAACTGATAAATTCTATCCATAACTCCTTTATCATCATTCAAGTTGTGGGGATATTTTTCTACAATGTGTGACTCACACAACATTAATTCCACAAGAGTTGAAAAGAAAGTAGGGATGGCAATTTCGACCTGACCCGTTTTACCCGACCTGTTTGACCTGTTTTGGGGTGGGTCCGACCCGCCCCGTAGGCGGGGCGGGGCGGGCATGGGCAAAGCAGTCAAAATCGGGATTTTGATCGTAAAATCGTAGGATTTTAGGATTTTACTTAGGGATTCCGATCCTGATTTTACTATAAAATCGATGGACCTTAAAATTGTTCAAAATCGGAATTAAAATCGTTAAAATCGTAAAATCGTACCAAAATCGGGATTTTGATCCTATGTGAACAAAATAGGGAGCTTGAGCCAATTCAAAAGAAGCAGAATTGTTTCGGTGGAAAGGGCAATGATGGGGATCTTCTCATATATTTTTCCTATTAAAAGAACATTTGAAAAGAAGAAAAAAAACTACCCCCTTCCCTTCTCCTTGTTTAACTCATCGGTAAAACAATTATCAGAATATTGTTAGTGCGTAAGAATTAACATCATTATTAACAAATTATTATTAATGAATATATTTTTACAAACCAATGACATTAATTATTTTATTGGATTTCAGTTATTCTTAGTTTTAAATCATGCTTAGTAGACGATGTCGGAATACTACTTTGAGTTAAACTACCTAGACACAACATGAAAAACAAGAGCCAAACCCCATGACCTCTATCCCTTCCTCGTAAATTATTTTTAGTTACACATTAAATAACAATTAAAATGATGATTTTGGAACATTAATCTTGAAAATTATCACTTTAAATGTTATAAGTCTTTGTGTTATTAATTATTTACCTTATTAATATTATCATATGTTAATTTCTATATGGTACTTAAAATCCTACGATTCTACGATTTCGATTTTACCCCAGTTTTCGATTTTAGGTAAAATCGCGATTTTAACTGCTTTGGGCATGGGTACTCTCATAGACCCGACCAGCCCTGACCCGCCCCATTCTCGACCCGTTCTTGCCTAAATTACACGTAATTTTAGTCAAATTACTTAGGATTTTCCTTTTATTAAATCAAATTTTAGCTATAATAAAGTTGTAAATTAGTGAAAACCTCAATTTCTCCAATAATTTAACTATATTTATCATAATGTTGTTTGTTTCCATGGTCTTATAATAAAAATGACGAACATTTCTAATATTTTTCATATTAACTGCTTACCCATTGGGTCGACCTGCCCCGACCCGTGACCCGTGATAAATTACCCGACCTGGACCCGACCTGCCACGGGGCGGGTCTGGGTACCAAGAAACCCGCCCCGGACCTGCCCCATTGCCATTCCTAAAAGAAAGTGACTCATGTAGCCGACGTTCACTAACTTCCCAACTGCATATCTTTTTAAGCAATCCAATTCATAGTTTAATTAAAATATCTGTTCGATGTTTATGGTTGCATTTATTTATTATTTTCAATGGTTAGTCTATATTAGGGGTGGCAGCCGGTCGGTTTAGGTTTAACCGTAAACCGAAAATCCGGTTATCGGTTAAATCGAAATACCCCCTATAGCTTCCGGCCACTGACCGTGAGAGAGGTCACGGTTAGCCGGCCAACCGACCGGTCGGTTCCGGCGTTAGGCTCGGTTAGCCGACCAACCAAAAAATTACCTTTTCCACAAAAAAAAAAAACTAAAAATTAATTAAATAAAACAAAACAATATCCACCACTCATCTCAATCCTTATCTCCTTCCTTCCTCCACCATTTCACCTCTTCTCTCTCCTTCGGTTCTTCCTTCCTCCACCAAACCTCTTCTATCTCCTCCTTCCTCCTTCCTTCCTCCACCAGATCTCTTCTCTCTCTCAAAAACCATGGCGCTATCCAACAACCTAACCGCAGTCCTGAACTTCATCGCCTTCCTCTGCTCCGTCCCAATCGTCGCATCGGAGATCTGGCTCGCCTCCCAGCCGGACAACGAGTGCATCAACTTCGTCCGGTGGCCGGTCGTCCTCCTCGTCCTCGTCGTCTCTCTGACCGGCTTCGTCGGCGCCTACTGGTACAAGGAGACACTCCTCGCCTTCTACCTCTGCTGTATGGCCATCCTCATCGCCCTCCTCCTCACCCTCCTCGTCTTCGCCTTTGTCGACACCCGGCCCGACGGCGGCTACGCCATCCCCGGCCGCGGATACAGGGAGTACCGAATCGAAGGATTCTCGTCCTGGCTGCAAGGTCACATCATCGATTCGAAGAATTGGGGCGCGATTCGCGCTTGCCTCGCCGAGAGCGACGTCTGCTCCAGGTTGACACGGATGGCGCGGGGCCCAGGCGACTTCGCATGGCCGACAGTGGCGAGGACGACGGCGAGGGTTGGTTTCTCTGCCTGCGGCGCTGCGCGAGAAGGTGGAAGGGGTGGATGGAGCTGGAGAAGCCGAGAAGGGGATTTCTGTTAGGGTTTGGGCATTTTGGACTTTGGGTTATTGGGGTCGTTTTTTGTTTTTGGGGGTTATTTTAGGGATGGTGCGGGGTCGTTTTGGAGAAGAGGAGAAGAGGTCGGTTAGCCAGTTAACCGCCGGTTTCCGACCCCGGTTAATCGGCTAGCCGAACCTCTTCCCCTCTCCTCCGGCAACCGACCGACGATAAAAGTAACGGTTTTCGGTTAGCCAAAAACCGATTGGTTCGGTTGAAACTGACCGGTTAACTGCTAACCGGAAACCGTTCTGCCACCCCTAGTCTATATAAATAACAAATACCACACAAATTGTAATACTTTAGACACATTTTTATTGATGAGAAAGATTTAATGACTATAAGAATCAATTCAATTTTAGTTGACAAAATGTTTCTTGAGACGAAATGAAGGAAATTATGAATTTTTTTTATGAATTCTTAAATTAAATTTCAAAATTTCCAGTATAGAGATAAATAACCTATTGATAATCGATGGTGGACAAACCTTGAATAAAAGGTGCGTAGGGCGAAAAAAAGTAAAAAAAACAAATGACATAGTTCCCGTAGTAAGACCAGAAACTAGAACTCATTTCTATTATGCGATCGCTGACCAAAACAGAGTAAAACATAAAGGGGATGGACAGCTCTGATTTCCCTCGATTCAACATGAAAGTACAACAACAACGTAAACCTTCAAAACAACAATCTCCCAAAACACACATCCATCTTCTAAGAGGAGGCTGCTGCAGCTTTGATTTTGGCAACGAGGAGCTTGGCAAACTCGATGATCTTCTCTGTTTCAGGCAGGACGTCCTTCACAGCAGGATCAGCCGAGAATTTGGCAGCCCATTTGCACAAACCAGGCGTCTTCTCCTCATCGAGAAGCTTCACTCCTCCCAGCATCACTTGCAGGGCTCTCAACCATGCCAACATGCTCCCAAAAGCAATGTCAATAAACCCAATCTTCTCCCCGCCGAAGAAATCCTTCCCTTTGCTGATCTCCACATACGCTCCCTCCAGCAGCGCCATGCCTTCCTTCAGCTGATCCACCGCCGCGTTCTTCGCCTCCTCGCTCGACGCAGCTGCCGCCCCTCTCACGTTCGGAAACCACTGCAAAAAAATTTGATTAAGAGATCAAAATCACACAAAAGTAACAACAACCCATTTAAGGACTCAGACCTAAAACCTTAAATCGGTGGTCAATTTCAGGAGGGTTGTCACAAAGATCGCACCTTTTCGTCGACGTAGGCAGCCCAGAAGCGCGCGACGGCGCGGTCGTGGGCGTCGGAGGGGAGGATTGAAGGGCCGGCGGACCAAACCTCGTCAATGTACTCGACGATGATGTTGGATTCGCAGATGGGTTTGTCGTTGTGTAGAAGGACAGGGATTTTCTTGTGGACAGGGTTGGATTTGAGGAGGAGCTCGCTCTTGGACCCGAATTGCTCCTGGAGGAACTCGTACTCGACGGATTTGATGTTGAGGGCGATCCTCGGGCGCATCACGAACGGACTCGGCCACGCGCCGATCAGCTTGACGTCGCCGTTGTTGTTGTTGTTGTCGGCCATTGTTTTGCAAGAAGAAGAGATAGAAGAAAAACAGGGGACCTCTCTGTTTCTATGTATGTGTACGATCTTGTTTGGGGGTTTGAATTGTGTGATGAAAACAGGGTGGGGGAAATGGCGGGTATATATAGTGAGAGATTGGGAGGAGGTTTCTTGGAGGAAACTTTTCTGGGCGTTGATTATTATATTAAGTGGCCGGGGAGAAGTTGGAATTGGGTTCCATACAGATGGGAAAGAGAGCCAGTGAATGAATGGGGTGGGAAATGGGAATTGAATTGGTGACAGGAGACAGTTTGACTATTTTATTTCTCACAAACAAGGAAAATTATTTATACGTCACTGATGATCCCAGCGACCGACACAACACAAGGAAGAAAAAAAGGGCATTGATAAGTATACAAAAAATGGAAAACAAATTGCACCAGCCGGGAATCGAACCCGGGTCTGTACCGTGGCAGGGTACTATTCTACCACTAGACCACTGGTGCTTGCTGCGTTGTTTCGCACATGTACATTGATTTATACTGTTAAGTAAACGCATAATTTCGGAGTAGATGACCCTGTTAACCTTGTTTTAACCCATAATTGAGCGACTCTCATTCAATATGGTCGAAGAACAAGAATCAGACCTTCCTCTAAGTAGAAGAAACACCCGCGCATCAAGATGATCTTTACTAGATACAGCAAACAAGGGGGAGATGGGTTACAAGAATTGAAAGATAGGTTACGAGCAATGCAGTCAAAATCGCGCTTTAAAACTTAAAAACTTACGACTTTACGCTTTTAGATCACCAAAACGCTTTCGTTTCCATATAAAATCTATAGTGTATAAAATCGGACTAAATTGCGCTTTAAGACTAAAAAACTTAGGATTTTACGCTTCTAGTTCACCAAAACGCTTTACGCTTTACGCTTTTACGCTTCTAGTTCACTAAATGAGTATTTTTTTTTCAAGAAATTAATTATAAAATATATTTTAAAGGTACATAACTAACAATATAATCATTTGAGATTAAAAGATACATACCAAATCTTGGATTCATTCTCAGTTTCAATAGAGTAATCTAATTCACGAATTCCCAAATTCATTAGCATAAAGGGGATGGTGGCTTATTATTAAGTTCTATGTTTATGAACTTATTTTTAAGATGCTGTGAGTTGCTCTACTTTAGACATGATTTGCAAGTATTTATTAACTTATCTAATTTTTGTGCACTCATATTTTACATAGTATATTTCATACTTAACAGATATTTAGCCATTTTACACTATGCATAAAAAACTTACGCTTTTACGCTTTGATTCTACGCTTTACGATTTTACCCATTTTCCGCTTTTAGGTAGAATCGCGCTTTTGACTGCATTGGTTACGAGAATCGAAATGCAAACTGCCCTAGGGGGATAATATAATTATATATCATATTGTATTATATCTGGTTGGAGTTCTAGTCGGTAAATCTCGAAAATGTATTGTTACTTGTTTAAAATATGGGTCGTACTCAATTTGTTCTAGTTAAATGGAGTACAAGCTATAAAAAGGTCAAGATCCAGCTAGACTCAACAACAATCATTCACCTGCTCTTGCAAACGCTCCGTCTGATCACCGTCGTCGCCATGCTACTCCTGTCATGTCTTTTCGAGAGCTTCAGATCAGGGATTGAGATACTAGAGTTACTCATGTTTACATGTAGAGTAACATTTTAGCCGATAGTATACCTTATAGGGGTCACTCTCTGAATCCTAGTACCCATATTGTTTGCTTCTCTGATTGAGTCATTGCACATTTTCTTTTGTATGATTTTGTTGGCAGTTTTATGGTCTACTTTATTTATAATTAAGAGATAACGGTGTTTCTCCACACCATAAGGAAATGTCTTTCTATTTTATTGTGTCAATCTATTTATCCTAAATTTTTGGAATTTCCTTCTTGATGTACTAAAATATTTAGTTGGTTTATCATAGCATAATTACCAATTATTGATATTTTATGAAGTAAATGGTTCTACTTAATAGAACATTATATCATGATTGATCAATGTGCAATCACATAGGAAACAAGAGTTTGATATAGTGATATTAGTACTAGTTTTCAACTTAGCGGTCCCAAATTTGAATTATAGAGTGGACTTCCTCTTTTCTCTTCTAACCCTTTACGTAGGAAAAACATAATAATCTACAACAAGGTAGTTCTATCGTACTTTGGGTAAAATTAAAGGTATAACATATCTTGAGTAAGGAAATGATACATAGACCTTGAATTGATCGGAGTTTGGCATCTGGTACTATTCATAAACCCTAAAAGATTAAAATATAGGTCTTAATTCTATAAATCTCATACACTAAGATTAAGTTAATTGAAACAAAAATCGAAAGTTATGATTCGGCGAAATGTAAGCAACAAATTACATGCATAATCATAGGTGTTCTGCTCTATGATTTAGATTAACTAAGACCTAAGGTTCACTTATCAAGGGTTAGGTATAGTATCATACCGAAAAACCCTGTTAATTTGAGGTCTAGATAACGTTTTCTTACTCAATGTATGTCGTACCCTAGATTTACCCAATATACGATAGAAGTCACCTATATATATGGATATATATTATTCACTAGGCTAGAATACATGTTAGGTCATTCGATTTATCAATTTATTTCAAGTTTGACAAACATTTCCTTCCATATTGGTCACTTAATTCAAACTCTCGTTTTGATCGTCCAATTTCGTTAAGTTTGTCGTAGGTGGCACTTAATTATGATTTTTAACTGTTAAGTAGATTATGTGCCAATTAAAAGAATAATAAAACTAGTGATCATGGAAATTTTTAAAATGACATTTCTATTATTATATTTTAAATTGTCACATAATTTACTTAACGATTAAAAATCATTGTTCATTGTCACTTGCGATACGAACAAGTAATCAATGATGAAACAAAAGTTTAAGATTTTTTTTTTGTTAATGACAAACATGTAATAAATTAATAAATTGTGTGAGAAAACATGAAATTTAGCCTTATCGGGATAGATGAATTATTCAGATCGATTTGAACTAAATATCAAGTTCGTTCGGTTACATACAATCGAGTTATTACGAATTGACTTGTACAAAACCCTTAATAGTTGGCACTTATAAGTTATACCCTTCTCAATTAACTTCACCAAGTGCACAGCAGTAAAAATGAACTTCCATACTTCTCATAACTAGACCAAAAACTAGAACCCATTTCCTTGCTCATCAATCACACAAACCCACAAAACAAATGTGCCCATTCTATGTGATCTTCACACTTATTTCCTTCATTTCATCAAACCGCTACAACAGTACCAGTCTCTCGATTCATCACCAAACATCAAAATTACAAACCCACCAAACAATCTACGAGGATGAGGCTGGTTTCATTTTGGCCATAAGGATCTTGGCAAACTCGAGGAGCTTCTCAGTCTCCGGCAGCACATCCTTCACAGCAGGATCAGCCGAGAATTTGACAGCCCATTTACACAAACCAGGCGTCTTCTCCTCATCGAGAAGCTTCACTCCTCCCAGAATCACTTGCACGGCTCTCAGCCATCCCAACATGCTCCCAAACGCAATGTCAAGAAACCCAATCTTCTCCCCGCCGAAGAAATCCTTCCCTTTGCTGATCTCCCCGTACGCTCCTTCCAGCAGCGCCAGCCCTTCTTTCAGCTGTTCCACCGCCGCGTTCTTCGCCTCCTCCGTCGCCGCCATTGGCGCAGCTCTCACATTCGGGAACCACTGCCCAATCAAAAAAAAGATTCCAACTTTTCAATTCGAATCCCAAATCTAACGACTGCCCATTAAAGCAATCGACACGGAGAATGCGAATTCGAGATCAATTTAGGAAAAAAGAGCGTAATTCGTACCTTTTCGTCGAGGTAGGCAGCCCAGAATCGGGCGACGGCGCGGTCGTACGGGTCGGAAGGGAGGATGGAAGGGCCGGAGGACCAAACCTCGTCGATGTACTCGACGATGATGCTGGATTCGCAGATGGGTTTGCCGTTGTGCAGAAGGACAGGGATTTTCTTGTGGACAGGGTTTGATTTGAGGAGGAGCTCGCTCTTGGACCCGAACTGCTCCTGGAGGAACTCGTACTCGACGGATTTGACGTTGAGAGCGATTCTAGGCCTCATTACGTAAGGGCTCGCCCAGGCGCCGATCAGTTTCACATCTCCGTTGTTACTGGCCATGGCTAGAGCAGAAAAATGCTGCGAGAAAAAATGGAAGAAAACAGAGTAGAAGGAGCTGATTTTGAGCTTTCTGTTTGGGGAGAGGAAACAGGGTCTGGAAATGCGTATGTATAGGGATTCGGTAGGGAGAGTGAGAGAGAGGAGGGAAATTATGGGTTCTTTTATTTGTTATTATTATTCTGGTTGTGGAGATAAGAACCGAAAATTTATTAACGAGATCGAGCAGAAAGGGCAGTGGGGATTGAATGGAATTGAGAGACGTCATTGATGATGATGGTGATTGTGGTAACGGGATTGATTGATACGTTTGATGGGGAGGAGGGTAGATGGATCGTGTGGCTGTGATTCAACTGAGAAGAAAGGGGAACAAAATCAAAAATCTACTTTGCAATCTCAGAACGGATTCTATCTTTATTGGTTAGTTTATAGATGAAGAATTTCACATTTTGTTCATACCTTCATACCCAAGAAAGGAAGGCTCGGAGTCGGAACAAGAAGGAAAACTGCAAAAATGGCGTCTGTGGCTGGCTGGAAAATATGAATTCACTGTGCTTTTGGAACGAGCGAGCTCCTTTCATATCCTTCGTAGTTCATTCACCGCCCACTACAGGATGAATGAAACCATCATTAGCTTAACTTCCTCCTTCATCCTCTTTTGATGTGAAACAGAAACATTTGGACCAAGAATAAAACTCTAAACGGGCCCTCAGCAAGACAAGCAACAGCTCACTATTTGGAAATCTGAGAAGAGTTCATACTATAGCAAAACAACAGAAAAGGATAATTAGTATCACCATTTTGCTAGAACGTACTTGAACATCAATAGGAGAACAAGCACTATATTGTTAAGTCAAACCAAAGCGCCTTCAAACATACAGAAAAAAATTCCAATTTATCAGCAACCAGAAAGCACGCTTAGCACCTTTAACAAACTGTTCTCTTGCAGGAGTTCATTGCCCTTAGCCATATTTCCCATGTTACAATAAGCATCCATTGAAGTAGTATAAGTTACAACATCAGGATGAATTCCTTCCACCTCCATATCTTCCTTCAGTTGCAGTGCTTGGTCTAGATTTCCTAACTTACAGAGACCATTGACCATTGAGTTGTATGTATGTAACAACATTTGGCACAAAGCCCATGTTGGACCATCTGGTTGTGAAGAAAGAATGCCTTCTTCATATCACCTGATTTGCAGCATCCATAAAAAAAAGTGCTGAATATGTAACTTCATCTGGCCTCTCACCTCCTTGACCAAGCATTTCAGTGATAAAGAGTTTGTCAGCTTCCAGCATGTTTCCATTTTGACAAAATCCACAAATGTGATAGCAGTATATGTTATAAAATAAGGAATAATCCTAACAGGTTCTGATAAAAAAAAAAAAAAGGAATAATCCTCTGGGTCTGCATCTCATGAAGTGTGGACTGGGCCTGATTTCCTTCAAATACCAAGCCCAACGTCCCTTGCGAATAAGTGTCAAGTAAAATGCAAACTGGGCCCACCGTACTTCCACAATGAGTAGATTCCTTCCCCGGTTGGCCCACGAAGCATATTAGCCGCGGTTGTTGTTGATAGAATTGGAAGGACATGGAGCCTGGAGGCCGTGTTTGCTGAAGGAATTTTTCCCCAGACTATTTGTATTTGTAAAGAAAACTGGCTTCCTTGGAGCAGAAGCAAATCTCCTTAAAATCTGCAGAAACTTTGGGTCTTCTAAGCCGCTGCCTTGGATCACAACCAAACGGGCCCCAAGAATCATCACACTCTCCACTTTCAGTCAAGCCAAGGCATCTTATCTTATAATACCCAAAATAGAGAAAGAAAGAAAAAAAATGCTGAAGCAACAAACTGAACAAAGAGAAAGGAGGAAAAAAGTATACTCAAAGCTAGCCAACTATCGGCAGCCGGCCAAAGAACCTTATTCTCCTACTTCCCTCCTCCTGACACTTTCACCCTACCATTCCACCACTAGTAAAACAGAAAAGACTCTATATATGCTCTACCCCAATTCCATGAATCACATTCTCCACCATTCTTCTCCCATGGCCACTGCAACAACTTCTACTACTACTACTCTCTTAGCACTAGTGGCTTTCTTCATCACAACTCTCACATCTTTCCCTTTCAAGGTCTCATCTCAGGCTTGCCAGAACTACTGTGGCAACATCCCCATCAAGTACCCTTTTGGAACCGGCCTTGGCTGTGGCGATCCCCGCTTCCAAAAGTATGTTACTTGCAACCAAGGCAAGCTCACTTTCACCTCCCACACCGGCTGCTACCCGATCACAAACATCGACTACTCGAACCAGGTCATCTACATCTCCGATCCATCCATGTCGACGTGTTCCTGTACTCAACCGAGCAAAGGCTTTGGCCTCGATTGGGACGCCCCTTTTTCTTTCCATGATGATACAGTCTTCACCCTCTTGGATTGCTCAACCACATCGTCGCCTATGTTCAGCACTACTGACTACGGTGGTGGGAGTAGTGGCAATGGCAGCAGCAGCAGCAGCAGCATGGTCCCTCAGTGTGACAGGACAGGGGCGCCAATCTGCAGCTTCTTGTATTCGTGCAGGGCGATCAGTATGATGAACCTCCCAATCTCCACTTGCTGTGTTTACACACCGGTCGATCTTGGCCCTTCGTTCGAGATGGACCTCCAGAAGCTGAAATGCTCGTCGTATGCTGGATTCTACAGCTTCAACGGGCAGGAATCGAATCCGGATGACTGGAAGTATGGGATTGCATTGAAGTATAAGTTCAATGTGTATAATGATTACCCCGGATCGTGTGCAAACTGTGAGAGAAGCCATGGGGTTTGTGGGTATGTTGGGGCTTTCAACTCTTTTGTCTGCAACTGTCCGGGTGGTTTCAATACCACATCTGAGTGTTTGTTCTTCAGCCATGCTTCAAGCCAATGGAAGACTGGTAGTCTTTTAATCTATTCTCTAGTACCCTTGCTGTTTCTATTCACTTCTTGAAATCAACCATTTGATGTTGCTTCTCTGATTGATTACAGGTGCCTGGTGGATCAGTTTCTTGGCAACCCTTTTCATTTTAACCAATTTGTAGACTGGAGGGACACCATGGAGATGGAAATTTCTCATGTTTTCCATGTATAAGAGTCTGTTGAATATGGGGGAAAGTTGCTGTAATGTTGCTTTACAATTTATATTGTAAGGAATGTGGAAAAAGGGGCAATGGGCATTACCCCAAATAAATAGTTTCATTCTTCTTTTTTTGTAATTGGAACTTCTGAATTGAGAGGTTTTTAAGTTTTATCATTTTGGCTATCCACCATGCCAGCTAGCTAGCAGAAGTGGGACTCTGATGTGGAGAGAATCTGAAGTACCAGAAGAATATGAAATAGAATGAGGCGAGGGAATAAGGTTCTCTTTTTTGTCAACAATCATAGCCACCAAGAAAGAATCACTTTCAGACTCAAGAGTAAAGCTTCACTATCTAGGACCCTACTTGGTTGCTAAGCTCATCCATCAGAAATTTAAAGCTGGCTTTATTGCTTCCACCTTTCAGCTAACAAGCTTTGGAATCTCCACTTTGTAGCAACTTCTGGAATTTCAAGTACTCAACAAACTAAAAGTTTAATAATGGAGAGCACATATGAGGTTCAATAATGGAGAGCATGTATGAGCCAAAAGTGGCAAAAGTTCAGTCCATTCTGATATTGCATTTCAGTTTCGTCTCTCCGGAATACAAGAGGAAAAGGCAGGTGTTCTGTGACTTGTCTATCCTCTCCCTTTACTGTAGTCCTCCACGTAAGCTACAGGCAAGACTAAATTAGGGGGAGAGAGAAAGCTGAACTGAACTAAGCTTGAAGAATGACTGACCGGGAACAAAAACTATAATGAATTGAGCTCAGAATGCTATATATCTCCCCTTGAATATGTACAAAGGTCCTGCTAGGACTACAAAACTTGTTTTTCCTTCTTGTTCTTTACCAACTAGTTGCGGTTTACGGTTAACCCATCGGCGGTAGTCATCTTGTTTGTCATCTCCAGTTGCAGCATTGGGCTTTTCCTTGATGTAACTTCTCCCATAGGCAAATCATCTGTCTAGGAGACTGGTAATGAGATGTGTAATAATCATCGATGCACCCAAACTGGCAGAACTTCAAGCTGTGCACATATTCCACAGGTTTTGAGCTGTTGAACTTTTCCACCCACATTCCCATGCTCACATCTTCCATCTTAAATAGCTGCAGCGAAGCCAGAATTCAAGTAATTAAGTTAGGAGGGACACAACATGTGCGTCATAGGATTTTGAACCATGTATAAAAAGAGTCTACTGCAGGTTAGCATCTAAATTCTACGAGTATGTAGACAAGAGAGGAGGGACGAGACTAAGTGGAACAATGGCTCTTACTCTTAGCTTGTGTTGTTCAAATTCTGATACTACAAACTCTGCAATGTCGGATGACACAATGTAACCTGGACCATTAGCATAGGGAGGATACACTTCCTCTGGCCACTCCTGAATGGTACACACGAAGAAAAACACACTTAAGCAGCATGTATTCGGAACAGGTAGATCACACACAAAAAACTTCTAACGTGAACAGAACTGATTGTGGTTCTTAGTTCTAGCCTCTACGTAAAGTTACTTGACGCACATTGTGCATGACAAATCTAACCACGAAAAGGACCTGATAAGAGAGAAAGGACTTGCAGCAAAATGCCACCGGCATAATAATGCAGAAACTTCCTAGTTCTCTTTTTCAGTAAGATCACTAACCTTGTAAGTCACTGCCCATTTACCATCTCGCAAGGGCTTGTGATAGTAGTTGATGTTCCCAACATACAAGCTTTTGTTTCCAACCACTTTCTTCGCCTCCTTCATAACGGCATCCACTCTAACAAATGTGTCGTCATCACATTTCATAATAAATTTTGCAGCAAGATTCTGAACCTGTTGAACCATACATGATATAGAGCCACATCATCAATGCACGATACAAAGACAGGAATATTCAGCAAGACTTCAAGTAACTCGGATACTCACCCCATATTCACAAATTGCAACAGTCTTTAGCACTACAAGATCATAGTTGTCCATGTAGGGAACTATAACAATATCACCAAAATACTCTGCTTCCTTCTTTAGCTGTGCATTTATTTCTTTTCTCCCAGTCTGCCAAAAATTTGAAGAAAATCAGTTCTTAGAAACTCAACAGCCCAAAAAGCAAATAGGGTTTACAGGTCTGGGTATCTCCTAAAGCATCTTACCAGTGCAACGAAGAATCGAGCAACAACATTTGAAGATTTGATCAAGTTATGTTGCATCCATGTTTTCCTTATAGCCATCCGTTCGGAAAAATGATTTCCAGCAGAGAGGATGCCAATAAAAAGCTCCACTTGGCCAAGAACAACTGGAAGTGAGGGTGCTTGCCATTTCTTAAACATCTCGAGATGCTGTTGCGGAGCAAAGTTTGGATGTGAACTAGGCAATGATGCAGCAATTACAGCATCCACATCGACATCACCGTTCAAATAAAACCCAGTAGCATCCTCAAGAACGAACCCCTGAAACAATCACATGTAAATTTCCAGACAACCTGCAATTTTGAGCATTCCCAGTTCATGGAGAAGAGATCACAAAAACAGAAAAATTACTCACAATCCGATAAGGAAATGACGTGATATGCCTGCCATCGACATTTATGTGGTAACCTTCTAAGCCAGCAGTCAATGTGAGAACGAACAACTTGCCTTCTGCAAAAGGGAAGGGCCAATTGTATGAAATCTTCTTTGTCCTCCCTATCAGTCTGTTCAACCACCATACTGTCTTTGAATCCTCCGTAGTTCCATCATCATCTCGCAGCCATTTCTCACACTTCACCTGCCCATCAACTTCACGAACCAACCCAGAAGAGGAAAAGGCAAAGGAACCTCAATGAATCGTATTACACAATCAAGGATTCAACCAAATAAATGCGATACGAAAAAAGATAGAAAAACTTCGAGGAGTTGGCATGCCGCCTTTCTTACCTGTTTCCTCATCAGCTCTAGAATTCCAGCCCTCGCATCTCTGAGCATGCCCCCACTGCATTCTGTAACAAGTGTTCTGCTCAATCACAGGCTTCCCACTCCAATCACCCTTCAATCTCGGGTTGACATGCAAAATCCTCGGCGGTTCTTCGTTATCGACGGTCTTCAATCCCAGCAGCTCCATCATGAACTGAGAAACCATCAATTCTTGTTCACCCTCCCTCAGCAGAGCTATCTTCGGGTCTCTTTCCCTGTGACCCCACCTCGGCTTCCCCACAACGGTTATATGCGAACCCAGAGTCAGCCCGCAGGGCAGCTCCAGGATCCTTTTACGGGACAAGAATTCTGGTCCAGTCAGAGTGATCGAATTCGGGCACTGCTGCTCAGTGGAATTCTTCTCGTCGGTCCTGATCGGATCGGGTTGAAGCTTGTCCGATTCCAACTCCTCCCAAAGCTTCTTCCCCGAGAACCACGCCTGCTTCGCCGTCTTGTAAAGAGCAGAGAATTCGTCGAGCGAAGTCACAACATCGAACACCGTCTCGTTGAAGAACAACCCGGAGATTCGCTTACTAGTCTCCCTCATTCTCCGCGCGGGGCTCCGGCGGAAACCCACTCGAGAATCCGAAGATTCTCCAGAAGGACTGCCGCCTCGATCTTCGCCGCCGCCGCCGCTGATTTTGCTTTCTGCTTCCTCTGCTCGCTCAAACAACTGCCGTTCGTCACGCTCGAAGACCCACGACCTGGGCAGGGCTTCACCGGTAGACCCGTCGCCGTTAGCTGACCCATAAACTTCCACCGACCCGGTTCTGAAAACCAGAGGGATCTCGAGAGTAACGAAGAGAAGGTAGAGGAAAAAAGCAGCCATCAAGGTCTGAATCAGCCGGACCCGACTCAGCGGCAGCATAGTTTCCAACTTCACTCTCTTCATTGTCGGTGCTCTCACCACCGACGAAGTAATTAAACCCAGTGATGTTAAGAGTAGCCCTAGTGCCGGAATTAGGACAGACCGGGAGAATTCGTGCTTGAAGAAGCGGTGGTGGAAGATTGGGAAGGGATTCTTACAGCGGAAAAAACGAAAGGGAAGGATGGGAATTTGTATACAAATCGTCACGCCAGTCGCCAGCGAGCAGAATGGCTGTTTGTTTCGTTAATCACGCTCACGCCGACGGCATTGACGCGTGCGGCGAATTTTTCTTAGGTAGATATTTCCAAGAAAATGACTCGAGAAATTTGCAAGTTCAAAACTTAAAATAGTAAAAAGGATTGCAAAACAAAAAGAAAGTAAAAGGGCCGTCCATTATTTTCTCAAGAGGAGCAGCGGACCCGGTTCCAGGGAATCTAGTAATAATCCTAATTTATTCCTAGCAAGGTTATCAATCGGCTGGTTGATCCGGACCCGTCCACAATAACGAGGGCCAACAGCTCATTCAAGTGGTTGGCCGGATTTGATCAAATTCGGCTAAACTCGGTAAAGCCTGGTAAACTCAGACGGTTGGACCGAGGTGTGAGTCAGCAAGCTTTCTATCGTCGACGTGTCAATCCGTCATGTTAAAATGAGTTCGGGTTGGGTGTAATTGGGTTACAAATTTTTTGATTCATTGGTGTCGGATCAATTGGATTCGGATTCTTCATATTGCAGATCAAACATACTACAAGTTTATCAGGTTGCGAGTTGTTCGCGTCGGCGTATTTAGTTACTTCCTCTTTACTATTAGTAGTAATTACTTACTCTTCGTGTTTCTCCGCAGTTGTTGATCTGCGTGAATAACGATGGGCTAAAAAACCCGATTCCTTAAGGAAACAAACTGGCCCAATAGATGGGCTTAATTAATTCAAAGCCCACATTGGTTTCCTATAGTTATCAGGCCGAGACTTGATTCCAAAGAAGAACCAAAACGGAACACATCAACTTAAACACTAAACAGAAGTCTATTATTGCTGTTTTTTTTTAATAGCATGGTTGGTCACTAAAATTATAAAAAAAGTTCAAGTTTGGTCACTCGAAATATTTAAATTCATTGGTGGTACTTCAGTTTACTGAAATCGTTTATGTTTGGTCACTCTCCGTCCAAATCCGTTAACTTTGACTGATGTGGCAGTCAACTTTCAAAGTTGACCGTTAACTTAGTGATGTGGCATTAAGAAATAATAAAAAAAAAATTAATCTATTTTAATATCCAACTCATTTTTACCATAAAATAAAAAAATAGATTAATTTTTTTACAGTCTGGTTCTGGAACCCAAAGATTTGGCCATATATTTCACTGGGGCAAATCGTCAAACATCTTATCGGTACTTCTCATTCAGCGGAGCGGCCCGCCTCTCCCTCCCGGACAACACCACCACACTCAACACCACTCTCAATGCGAACCTAGATATCGAGACCAAAGTCACCGATTCCACCGTCAGCGGCGGTGGCACTTTCTTTAAAATCTCGTGTTTCAACACCACGCTGTCATACCTCCGCTTGGAAATCGACGGCAATTTGAGGACCCACACCTTTATAATCGGCACTGAAACCGACGGGTTCCAGACCTAGATGTGGTAAATCACGGTGACCGTGTTCTCCAAAGACGATCCGTGGGCGCTGGGGAGTTTGGCGTCTCCGAGAACAGCCAATGTGTCGGGTGCCCGACTCCGAACGGGCAACTGGCGGGGTGGGGCAGCGGTTGCGAGGCGCCAAAGCTGAGGTGGAATCGGTGGCTGAAATTGGAATTGGAATTGGGCAGTAATAATCCCAACGGGATGGTACTCGTCCTCGACCCATCAAAGCGGCGGCGAATTTCTTTGCCGATTTCTTCGTTGCGAACTGGGTGTCGTAGAATTCCAGGACCGGGTAAGATCGTCAGAGATTGGCCCATCTTTGGGACAGGACGCTGGTTTTCGCAGCTTCTTTTGAGAGTTCTACGCGAGTGAGGATCTTATGGATGACGTCTTCGTGTAAATCCGATATCCGGTCGACCTCGCCGTTTAGGATTTGGTTAGTTTCTCCATAGCCATTGGTCTCCAGGCGGTGACGCTTCTCCCTAGTTTAGGGACGGGTGGGTGGAAGAACATAGACGAAGAAACAGATGATGGTTTCTTAATTCAACCCTATTAGGTTTTGGGTTCTGAATTCAACAACCTAGGTTGGCCAAATTGATCATCATTGATTTCAAATATTTTGAGCTAAAAGGGGTGGATCACTTTGTGGTGAAGTATACGAGAGGCGACGTGCCAGTGAAGCAACATACGTGCGCCAACAAGTGCAACAAGGATTAAATTTTATTATTTTATTTTATTTTTTATTTTATGGTCAAAATGAGTAGGACATTAAAATAGATTAAATTTTTATTTTATTTGTTATTTTTAATTGCCACATCACTAAGTTAACGGTCAACTTTGAGAGTTGACTGTCACTTCAGTCAAAGTTAACGGAGTTGGACGGAGAGTAACCAAACGTGAACGGTTTCAGTAAACTGAAGTATCGCCAATAAATTTAAATATTTCTAGTGACCAACCATGCAATTAACCCGTTGTTTTTCAGATCAAGGCGTGGAAAGTGGAAACCCTCTAAAGAACACTTGTTCCCTCAAGAATAGAGTTCCATAAACCCATCGAGCTACTTATCCAGAAAAATACAAATAAGATAGTCGGTTTTTACGTGGTTTCCGCTGTTGAGAGAATAAGAATCTCAAAACTCACTATTCCACGGTCTGAGACATTGCATTATGAATATGTTTGTTGAAGCACCAGAAATTACAACAATCTCTCAACTCAGTCGATTAGCTCCCCGCTGAATCGACACACCTCACCTATCAGCTATCCAGCTAATAGAACCTCGGTATCTCCCAAGCTGTACATCATTGCCAAGGTGTACATCAGCGATTCAGAGTGGCTGTTGGATTTGAACTCATGGCTTCTTGGTCTATTTGAGAAGAGATGGATAACAGATAGGAGCTCATCACCCCTTCATCCATTAAAAAAGTAACATACTGAAACCTTGTTGCCAAATTTCTCAACACAAAAGAGCAATCCCACATGATGACATTGATTTGCAGCCAAGCCAATTGGTCTCTCACACGCAGATACAATCAGACACACATTATTGAATAAGTAAAGTACCATACTACAGCAAGCTGACATCTATGGAATATCAGAAGGAACCCTCCTCTGTCTGATCAAAGAAACGACCAGAAGGCCCGCCATAGGGCAACAATGCCAACTTCACAGGACCTTCCGCGCCTTCATCCGGGGTTCTAAACCCAGTATTCTGGTTAATATCCGTCTTCACATATCCAGGGCAAACGCAGTTGATGCACAGATTTGGGTACTTCTTGGCTATGATCCTGCTGTAACCATTCAACGCTGCCTTCGACAGTGTATATGCAGAAGCCCCACGCGGCCAGCCTTTGGTTGCCAACGAACCTTCCTTGAAGTCTTTCAGGTACTGATTCAACACTTGTTCCACTTTCTCTTCAGTCAGATTCTCGACATCACTCAGCACGCTTGTAGCCCATTCATTCTTGACATTCTGAAAACGCAAACAAATCAGACTTCAAAATGCTAAATCGTCTGCTACTTGCTGTGGGTTTATGCTAACAACAAGAGGCAAGTGAAAACATACCTTCAGCTTCCCCATGCCAGAGGAAACGTTGACAATCCTGGGCAAATCAGACTGCTGAAGCAGTGGCAAAAACGTTTCTATCATTTGCTTGGCGCCATGGTAGTTTGTTTTCAAGCATTCTTCTGCCAATTCGTATGTGTCTGTAATGCTCTCAAACCACTGTTGGAAGTTCATATGTTAGTAAGATTGACCCAAACGAAGATAATAGCTAATCAATTCGTACGAAAAATAGCGTTACCCTGTCCTGCCCGACAGCTCTCATAACATCTACGTCCATCGTCGCCCCGAAAATCGCAGCATTGTTCACCTAATTAAGAAAACAGTAACAAAGAGCCACTTCAAAAGTTGCCACACTCCAGAAAGAACAACAAATGGTGGATGAGAGCAAGAAAAGAGGAACAGATATGCATACCAAGATGTCAAGCTTCCCGAATTGGGCTCTGATGAAATCTGCGAGGGAAGAAATGCTGCTACTGTCTGCCACATCAAGTTTGTGGAAGACTAAGTTTTCTGAGAGAGCTGGGTCGCCATCTCTGAGCTTCTGAACAGCTTGGAGGCCTCTGTTTTCGTCTCTGGCTGTTAAAACAACCAGAACGCCGTGAGAAGCCAGCTGCCTGCAAATCTCGAACCCAATCCCCTTGTTTCCTCCCGTGACCACTGCATACCTGCAAAAAAACATAAGCGCACGCACCACCAGGTTAACAATTTGATCAATTTGAAGCAGCAACCGGATTAATGTAATTGGGTTCTTTTATGGGAGAAAAGAATTGCCTCTTGGTGGTTGCCGCCATGGATATGGTTCTCGAGAGTTTGGTATCTGGGGACTTGATTGAGGATCACGGAAATTGAAGACTGCATTGTTAAAACATTGAACCTGTGGTATATATAAAGAGTTTAGACCTGCCACGCGGCTGGTCTTCTGCTATCCTGTAATAAATTTCTGGATTTGTTTTCTATCTTTTTTGTGCCCTTTGGATATGTATTTTTAATATTATTGATTTTGTTCCTTTTTCGAACTAATTTAAATTGCTTTTATATAGCTTGACAAGTCACTTAAATCGTTTTGCTAAATGAACTGAATGGCTAAACGTCGCCCTAGTTTTACTAGAATCGCCCTAAACTAAAACATAAAATTACTAAATTAACCTTTATAAATTAATAAAAAACCAACAAAACAAACGCCCTTAAAACTAAAATCCCTAATCTCCGAAGAATATAGGAGCCGAGTTTCTGGGCATCAAGCAAGGATCATCATCAAATAATAAGAGCAACTCAGCAAGATTGCTTTCCCAAAGCTGACGCATCGTGGGTAGATGGGGAGGGGTATTCTTGATTTGACCCATAAGAAGCTGAGTGTTCTTCTCCAATCACCGCCACCCAATCCGCCGCCGCAGATATCCGACGGGATAAAGAAGTAATGTTTTGTCGTCGAATTTCCCCAGGTTTACTCACTCGATTCCACCGGCAAAGTAATGTCGCGCATGGATACTGACAGGGCCCCTGCTTCCGCTTCACCACCGCCTAGAAGAGGCTCTTCTCTGCACCAGAAGCGGTTCAAGAGCCGGAATTCTTAGGCCTTATGCCTGGTATTGGTAATTCATATTCGATTGATCAAGAAATGGATCGATGAATTGATTTCTAATGAGTGTTGGTGATAGTTTCTAGTTTCGTACAATGCCTGATCTGAGACTTTGAAATTGAAGGGATTATGCAGGAGAGAGTACGAGATAATAGATAAAGGTTAAAAAAGTAAATTTAATTAGGGCGATTATAAGATTTAGGGCGATGATTAGCAATCCCCTAAATGAAAGCCTGCTTAAACAAAAATCAAATCATATGGGGTTAAAGTTTATGTATGTCTGAGTACAGGAGTGGAGTGAGGATTTGAGGTTTGGAGGGAGTGAGGCTAAAGTTTTTTGCACATATGATCGTAAAATAATTAAAAAATTCGTCAGCGCACAAGATGTTGATTTTTTATAGTTAAAATTTCTTTAAATACAATCTTAACTAAAAAGTGGTACTATGATATGTACAATATAGATTAGTAAGTTAATATATTATTGAGTATTTTCATTAAAAATGTGAATATTTGTTAATATTATTATTTGAAAAAAAAATTCATTAAGTCCAAAATTTACCTAAGAAAATATGAATTTTTAACTTGAAGAGATAAATGGATTGAGTTTGAAGGTAATGACCTAAGAAGTTAAAGCATGAAATAACACTTAACTTTAATGGGAGGGTTGTCATAAGAAGGTAAGGACCAAATTAACTATATGACAAAACTAAATCTCATAGGTAAAAATAATTAATATTCTTCACTGAGATAGAATGAATGACTTTGTTTATGAATCACACTTAACTTTAAACACTTTACTTTAAACGAAACCCAGGGTTGAAATTTATGTATATCTCAATACATGGCTAGTGGCTCGTAAATTGACAACTTTTCCACTGAGATAGAAGGAATGACCTTTGTTTAAGAATTGCAACCTTCTTTACATCTATATGATTTTTAGTTTATACGTAATTTTTAAAATTTATAGAAGATTCATATGTAATTCTCAAAATTCTCGAGGGTTGGGGGAGGGGGCAAGCCCCCAAGGCCTAAGGTTGCTCTGCCCCTTGTCTTGATCATTTTCTTAATAAATGCGGCCGTCATGATTCAAACACAAGAGGTCATAAAAAAAACTCTAACTTAATGTCAAGAACTGTTTTCTTCCAGATATGTTCAATTATTGATAGAGAATTGGATCTACAGGTTCACCGTCAATAAAAATTTGGTAGAGAATTGGATATTATATCATTTATTAGCATTTTTCACATACCTAGTTATAAAAAAAATAGTATCATCATCAGGGAATTAATTATGTACCGTTGTAATATTTTTTTATATTAGCCACGATTTAATGGTATTTTTTGTTGATATTGAATAAGTATAATTTTGATTCTGAATGGATAATATGAATCATTGTCATTTTTATATAGCTGGTTAAAGGAAATGTGAATAGGTCAATAAATGATTTGCAAATCATACATCATAAACTAGATTGTTTCGATGGAATAAATATATCTGGTACTTTTCAATTAAGAATTAAGAATATAGTCAAACCAGATGAAATTTCGTAATGACTTCCCTATTATATTATTTTCATAAGGATTTCAAGAATATTCAGAAGAACAAAGAAATAAACATTTTAAAGTTCTCTCAGAGGATTAATTTATGAAGAAAGCTAGAAGCATTTGTGTGGAGGTTAGAGAACGTTGATGTGGCAAATCAGTGGCTTCATGCTCGTTCGGTGTGTTACCTAACGTGTGATTTTTTTATTGGGTTTGTTGAAGAAAGTGCAAGAGATAATGTTTCTTGATATAAGACCAGTAAAATGGGTGGGTTAATTCTCAAAATATTATATTTTTAAAATCATTAATATGCGGTTCATAAATTATCGACAAAAATATTGTGTTTTGGAGTCGAGAAAAGGCGAGTCCACGCGAGTAGAGAAAGAGGGAATTTTCTCACGCGAATCCGTATTGCCTTCCTCCTACCTTCTCTTCCTCGCACAGATTCGCCCAGCACATCTGATGGCCGACTCCGACCATTCCTGCGACGAAGAAGTCGTCGCCGGAGAAAGAAGGGGCCGTGGTAGTGTTGAGGATATTAATTACTTAGTCAAAATGTAATTAATTCCTTGTCTAACAAGTCCCTTGTTTCCTTGTCCGGGTAAAAGAGGGAACTTGGTTGTCTTTAGGGTTTTAACCCTAAGTCGTTCTCTATAAAAGCTTAGCTATGGTTCTGTCATAAGCAAGCCGTCACAATGTAGTCCCTAATAAAATATCAGTCTGTGTTCTTTCGTATTTCCGCATCATCAAATTCTACATGGTATCAGAGCGAAATTCGATCCTTGATTAGGGTTTGAGCTTCTGTCTGCGCCCTCGGTCTCGTCAACATCAACAATCTAGGGTTATCCGTGTGCGTTGCCGTTCAGGGTTGAACGCGTCTCCGTCTCCAGTCCACAGACTTATCGCAGCTTGTAGCTCCTGTCTCCGGCGAGTTCATCGCTCGTCAACGTTGCCGTTCTCCGCCGTAGGAAGAGCCAAGTGCCCTCGGCGCCATCAGCGGCCCTCGACATCATCATCGCCTTCAACACCCCATTCATCATGGGCCACAAGAAGGCCATGTCAAAAGCCTTTCCAGCAGCAAGTCGTAATCGGGCCGCGACGTCACAAATCCATGGACAAGAATAACAGCTCGAAATCGTTATTTGGTCTCTATCGCAGCCTTTGTTTCTTTTCGCTTTCACCAGTACGCTGCCGCCGCCGTGTCTCTGTCTTTCCCCCGACACCATCACCGGTCGCGGCACCCAGTCACAGTCTCCAGTCCCAAGATCCGGTCGTAGCCATCGCCATCATCGATCTCGTCCGCGCCCTAGTCATCGCAATCAAACACGGCCGCCATCGATTCATCTCCTAGCTCCCGCCAACGTCGACCTCTCTATTTGGCCGCCATCGCTCCATCTCCTGTTGCCGCGCCGCCAGGTCGTCATTACCGTGCAACCAGCCTCGACATGAGTAGAGGCAAAGGGCGAGTGGAGGCCGGAGAAGGGTTTCCAAACCCAATTTTTACACTTTGGGCCGCCAGATGGCTTCCATCTTGAAGATAGTCAAGTTCTCACCAGCCAGTTAAACCAAGGAGTAAGTTGTCGCTCCACTCATTATTGACAAGTCAGCCGTCAAGTTCAGAAGGCAGCCGCTGTCTTGTTATTTGGTCAAGAAGTCTGGTCTTCATCGTGACCGGGTCATCCTTTTCAAGGTCACATAGAAAGCAAGTCTTCAACAACATCGAAGTCATGGCGTTGAAGATAATTGTGACCTATAGTGGTCGCCTCTTCAATAGCTAGTGTTGGGGAGTTACAGCTTTCGTCAACAAAATTTTCAAGTCAGCAAGCGAGGCAGTCACGATCAAAGAAGCGATCGTCCCCTCTGCGTTCAGCATTGGTCAATTTTGATTCATCACTATTCTAACTTTCAAGCTGGGCATTCACGTCGTTCATGCTCCAGCTTGAGGGGGAGAATAGAGAGTCAAGTCGTTCAGGAGATGCAGTCAGCCATCTCCACCATATCATACGGATAGACGTAGTCAATCGTCTCCGTCAAGTCATTCAAGAGATGTAGTCAACCGTCTACGTCAGGTCGTTCAAGGGACGCAGTCAATCGTCTCCATCACGACGTTCAAGAAGATGCAGTCAACTATCTTCATCAGGTTGTTCAAGGGAGAGAGTCAGTCGTCTCCAAATCAACCTCGTCTGAGATGTTATTCATCTCGAGTTTTGTTGTTCAAGCTTGTCATGCTTGATCGTCACATTTCCTTTTTCAAACTCGACATTCTTGTCACTCATGTCTTCGCTTGAGGGGGAGTGTTGAGGATATTAATTACTTAGTCAAAATGTAATTAATTCCTTGTCTAACAAGTCCCTTGTTTCCTTGTCCGGGTAAAAGAGGGAACTTGGTTGTCTTTAGGGTTTTAACCCTAAGTCGTTCTCTATAAAAGCTTAGCTATGGTTCTGTCATAAGCAAGCCGTCACAATGTAGTCCCTAATAAAATATCAGTCTGTGTTCTTTCGTATTTCCGCATCATCAAATTCTACAGGTAGAGGACGGGGAGCACGCGGCGGCATGTCCGATACCGAGTAAGGATTCTCGCCGGCTGCCGGGTTCTCGCCGGCGGCGAGTTATTATGGGTTTTTTTAATTAATTTTGTTTTATTTGTTTTCTTCAGGTCCTAGGATTCTAGATACTTATTCCTAGGGCTGAAAAAAAAATTCGTCAAAAAAAAAAAATATGGCTGAAAATTTGTATGTCCCGTC